GTCAGCCGGCAGAGCGGCCTCATCGCCCGCCTGGAGCGCCTGTGTCCCGGGGGCGCGGGCGAGCAGCGGCAGGTAACCGCGGGGCCTTTCCTAACAGCGGCGCTTGCTGTGTGCGTGCCCAGTGCGGTGGGTGGCAGGCAGCCCATCTCTTATCCACAGTTCCGAAATCCGGGGGGCGGAATCCAGACTGGCTTCTTACCCCTCCTCCCTCACTTCTCTGGGTTCAGATATGATTAGTGGCCATTGATGGATGGTCCTACCTTACCCACTTAATGTGAATATTAGTGTGATCCTGTCCCCAAGCTTACGTAAAGACCAAAGGACCACCGTCTGCATCTCGCCAAGTTACTCTGAACTCTGGAACCTGTCTGGGCCCGGGGTTTGGGTGAGATCGTTGCTCTGTGACAGTCCCTGTTTACAGATTTGATAGAAAAGTTTAGAAAGTTGGATGTGCTATTATTACCACTTACAGAAAGGGAGAGAGGCACAGATCACTCCAGAGTTTGTGTGTGCGCGTTTTTTTTTTTTTTTTTTTTGAGACAGGGCTCACTATGGAGCTCAGACTGGCCATGAATTTGCGATCCTCCTGCCTCAGCCTCCTAGTGCTGGGATTGCAGGCGTGTACCACTATACCACCCCTGGCTCCTGGGTGGGATTCTGCACTTTGAAGCCGAGAGTTAAGCTGGGGAGAGTCAGTTTAAGGCTGGGACGACCCCTGCTCGCCTTGCTGTTTGAGCGCTGGGAGACTGACACCCACCCCAGCCAAGGGTTCTGGTGACATTTCCGGTTGTCACCCCAGGTCCCGCCCCCGCCCCTGGTGCCTGTGGTTCCTTTGAGTCTGGTGGGCAGCAGCAGTAACGCCAGCAGGAGCCTGGCCCCAGCCCCAGAGTCCCCAAGAGACCAGACACTGAGACAGCAGGGGCCCCTGGCCTCCTCCTCACCCACTGGGCTCCCTGCCAGCCCCACCAAGCCAGCAGGTAAGAGCAAGATGGATGTTAGGGGTGCGAGTAGCCCCAATGCAGGATGGGTAGCAGGAAATAAGGGGCAGGCTTCCTGTCAGGTGAGTGGCCTGGAAGAAATGATGCTCTTATTTCAGTAATGCAACAGCGAGATAGGACTCTTATTCTGATAGAACCACCAGAGCTGAGAGGCACCTCATGGTTGGTAGTGTGTGCTCGCCCAGCATGTTCAAGGCTCTGGGTTAAGTCCCTGGCTCTGCAAAAAACCAAAACAAAAAGACCAAACCTCTTACTATCTGTGCAAACAGGAAAAACAAATTAGGAGAGGAAGAAATCTTATTTTGATGAGGCACCAGCAGATTTAGAACATCTCCTTTGTCGTAAGGGGACACAGAACCTGAGTTTAAGAGTCCCAGACTCCCCATTTGCTCCAATGACAGACGAGGGGTTTAAAATCATTGTCAGGTAAGGAGATAGCTATTGGTGTTCTCACTCAGGTGAGGGAGAGGAATAGAAAGTACTTTTATTTTGGTGCGGGGACCAGAGGGAATCAGGACTCTTACTGAACTTAGGGATGTGCCTCTCCCATGTCTGTGTGTTCACAGGCCCATGGCAGGACTGTGCCGAGGCCCACGGGGCAGGCCACAGGCAGAGCGAGGTGTACGAGCTGCGCCTCGGCCGGCATGTGGTGTCTGCATGGTGTGAGCAGCAGTTGGAGGGGGGTGGCTGGACCGTGATCCAGCGGCGGCAAGATGGCTCGGTGGACTTCTTCACCACCTGGCAGCAGTACAAGGTGGGTGTGGCCGGAGAGGTGGGGCCAGGCGGGCGACGCCTGTCCTTCACCACCGTGTCTCCCTCTCCTCGCAGGTGGGCTTCGGGCGGCCTGACGGGGAGTACTGGCTGGGCCTCGAACCCGTGTACCAGCTCACCAGCCGTGGGGATCACGAGCTGCTGGTATTGCTGGAAGACTGGGGAGGCCGTGGGGCCCGTGCCCACTATGACAGCTTCTCCCTGGAGCCTGAGAGCGACTACTACCGCCTACGGCTCGGCCAGTACCACGGGGATGCCGGGGATTCTCTTTCCTGGCACAATGACAAGCCCTTCAGCACAGTGGATAGGGACCGAGACTCCTATTCTGGTGAGGAGACCTGCTATTCTGGTGGGAGGGCAGGAATGGTGGGACTCGTAGTGGGGGACTGGAAAGTAGGAGCATGCGTGTCTCCTCTGGTAAGAATTAAAGAAACCTCTCCCAGAAGGAGAACAAGCGACAGCACTTTTATTTTGATAAGGGGGTAGGAGCCCATATTCTTTGAAGAGGCCAAGAGTTGAGAATCCTCTTCTGTTGGAGGATTTAGCTCAGTGGTACCATGCCTGCCTTGGCAAGCACAAGGTTCTGAGTTCAATCCCCAGTATCAGAAAAAAAAAAAATCCTTTTCTATTGTAGGAGAGAGGGCAAGAGCTAGAACATTTTTTTGTTGTTGTTTTTTGAGACAGGATCTTGCTACGTAGCCCGCTTTGAACTCACTATAGGCTGACTTTAAACTGGCAGCAATCCTCCTGCCTCAGCCTCTTAAATGCTAGGATTACAGTTGTGCACCAGCATGCCTGGTTTAGAACATTTAAAAAACCTATGGCCTCCTGCATGTAAAGCCCGTGCTCTACTGCAGCCCAAACTTATTGTAGAAAGCAGAGAATTTGTCTTCCTTTGGTAAAGGAATGAGCGGTAGACTTCTACTTGGCAGAAAATGCAGGAAAGGCATGACTTGTGCTTTGATAAGGAGATAGGAAAGGAATTTAGGCTGTTACTCTGAAAGTAGGAGGCCAGGGCTTTTATTCTGGTGAGGAGATATCAGGACTTAATATGCAGCAAGATTGGGAAGGGCCAGGGAATGCCTAGCAAAAGCCTTGCACAAGGAGATGCTGGGAGAGGCTCTTCTCTTGTCCCGCAGGAAACTGTGCCCTGTACCAGCGGGGAGGCTGGTGGTACCACGCCTGTGCCCATTCCAACCTCAATGGCGTCTGGCACCGCGGTGGCCACTACCGAAGCCGCTACCAGGATGGCGTTTACTGGGCTGAGTTCCGTGGTGGGGCGTACTCGCTCAAGAAGGCTGCCATGCTCATCCGGCCCACCAGGCTGTGACTGTCCCTCTGTCCTCATGGTCCTGGGTGACCCAGCCACCCCTCCCTCATGGCTCAGTGCTGAACCCGTCCTAGTGTTTCCCACGGTGGTGGATCCGGGCCCCCCCAAAAACGGGGCCCAGGAGCCCCTCTGCCAAGATCACAAGCCCGGTTGCCCAGGCTCCCCAGGGCGTTTACGTGTGGGGCGGAGCTTGGATTTGCTAACCACACAGTACCGCAGGGCAGGGCTGCGCTCACTCGCGGGGCCCGGCCTCCTCCTCGTCCTCCGCCGCCTCGTCCTCCTCCTTCAGGTCCTCCAGGATGAGGTTGTCCAGGTCCTCCAGCAGCCCGGCCTGGCTCAGGCAGGTGGCCACGGTGGAGCCGCTGCTGATGTGGGGCTTGCTGGGGTGCAGGACCTTGGGCAGGTGGTTCTGCTTGCGGCTCTTGGGGTGAGCGCAGAAAGTCCCCGGCACGTGGGGCTCTGCAGGCAGGAAAGGGGCTGAGGTCACCACCGAGGCGCTGCGGGACGCTGGGAGGAGCTGGGTCACAGGAAGTAGGGCGTGAGCGGCAGAGACCTCAGACCCGGGACTGCAGGAGGCGGGGGCGGGGTCACAGCGCAAGGCAGGAGCCCCTGTGCGAGAGGCCCTGTGGTCTCATGGGGCTCTGTGGGGTGCAGACCAAACAGCTACGTGCACTGAAACTTCTGTATTTTAAAATGTTTTCTTCGGACTTTGTTTTTTGAGACAGGGTCTCTCTGTGTAGTCCAGGCTGGCCTCAAGATTCCTGGCAATCCTCCTGCCTCAGCCTCCCAAGTGCTAGGGTTACAGGCGTGCAGTACTGTGCCCGGTCCCCAACCCCTTTTATAAATGTTTGTATTTTCAGACAGGGTCCTGCCTAGTCACTAAGTTGCCCAGGCTGGATTTAAACTTGAGATATTCCTGCCTCAGCCTCCCGTTACAAACCTGTGCCACTATGCCCAGCTGAAACTACCCTACTTCAGCCCACAAAAGAAGACACAGACCATGTGCCTGCCCGGACGTCGGGGCACACCTGGGAGCTCCCCCCAGGTCCTCACCTCGCCGATTGTAGCAGTCAGCAGCTGAGCAGGAATGGGTGTGTGTGCTGCGCCGATCCGTGTTCAGGTCCCAGCGCGGAGGGAGGATCCGTGTGGGAGACACGGGGAAGGCACACCCGTAGCAGGGGGACTGGGACTCCTTCTGTGCCCAGCCCCTGGGGGCAAGCAGGGCCGTGAGGGGCGGGG